TATTTATTTAACTGTTTTCCAAGATTTTTAATAACTTTTTAATAAAATAATTAATATTATTTAATGTATTTAATTATTTATTTAGATAATATATTATAAAGAGATTTAAAGTATTTTAAATTTAAATAATATCAAATATATAAGTTAATAATATAAATGTATGAAGAGTAACATGTAATATTATTTTACACATAAATATATAAAATATTATATTTTATTTATGAAAATAAGAATTTTTTTTTAATATTCGTACCACGTGCATAGTTCCTCTATCTAAATTAGCAAAAAAGCAAAATTATCAAGATCACCATAATTAAAATATTTTCATAAGTAAAATATTTTTTCCCCTTTATTTTAATTGATTGATTAAGGAAAAAAATAATATTATATATTTTCATATGGTTTGTTGCCTTTTTATTTCATCTTTTACTTATTTCTTTCACTTTTAATATGAAAAAGATATATTTTAAAAGAATCTTCTATAATCATGCTTACGACCACACTAATTAATTAATAAGACCACGACCACGTTCACGTTCAAATCTACGTAATAAAATAAGTCTATCGAGTTTTTGTGAATTTTTATTAAAAATTCATTGTGTTATTTATCATATTCAAATCTTGCAGACATCAGAATTATAATATATATATATATATATATATATATATATATATATATATTTAAAATATTCAATAAATAATAAGTATTATATATATATATATATATATTATAAATAGAGTTATATAGTTACTTATGTTGATATATTATAAATTTTGTGTTATAATATGATCCGGAATTCAGATAGAATAAATGAAGAAAAAAATAGATAGTCAAACTGTTTATAAATAATAAAATTAATTATATTTTAGCCCCTAAAGTTTAAAATAAATTTCATTTTTTCGGATCAGTGAAAAATATTTTAAAATCTTAAAATTAAAAAAGTATATTACAGAATTAAATATAATTTAAAAATTTATTTAATCTCTTAAATTTAACGTTGAGACACTAAAATTATAAATTATTACAGATTTAGAATATTAAACTAATTTGATTAAATTTAAAGACAAAATCATATTGATCCAAAATTTCAATAATTACAAATATAGTCAAGTAAATATAATAAAAAATACTAGTGAACTTCGCCTTTTATTTATTCTTTTCTTACGTTTCTCTTTTTATATATAAATACATTATTTTTTATTATTTTTGGTTTATTTATCTTTGTCGGGGTGTAGTTTATAGGGGAGAAACGGTGCATGAAACTGGAGGAGACAGAGAGAATAAAGGCCGCCAAGGTTGACGTATTGGATGACGCAGCCGAAAGCATATTATAATACGAGGACTGATTTATTTTTGGCTGATTTAGTTTATTCTGAAATTGATTTTAAATAAAAATATTATATTATATTAAAAAAATTTAGTCTTTTCTGTTATATTAGATATTTTTTAAATTGATAAAGATATTAAAAGATTGTCTTCTTTTTTAAAAAGATGTTAAAAATAACATAAAATTATAAAGACTGGATTTATAATAACATTAAATGGAATGGCCTCGTAAAAAAAATGTATCAACTTTATCCTTTATTTATTTTTTTATTATTTAGAATAGCTTGAATTTTATCATTAGATTTATTATTTTTTTCTTTATTTTTAAATATTCCAATCTCCTTAATATTATTTAACATTCTCTTTTTCATTGAAGTATCTTTAGATTATGCAACAGCTTTCATTATTAAAATTTTAATTTTTTATAGTTCCGAAGCACAAGGTTCAGAATTATATTTAGTTCCAAAACAACCAACGTAGAATGTAGTGCACGAACAATGAGAAGAGATGAGGAGTGTGAGAACTAAATGTGTGAGAAAAGATGCAAATTTCTTTTTTCCTCCAAACTCGGGTCAGTTTATTCATAGTACACCGAATTTTATTTTGAGTCTACTCTAAAACAGGTTTATTCCAATTACTGGATTTTTTTAGTTTAAAAAATTTAAAAATATTATGATTTAAAAAAAAAAATTAAACTATACTTAATACAATCACCTTGGATCTTAAATTAGTAAAATGTTGGTCCTTAAAAAAAGTTGTAACTAATTTTTTTTTTAATGAAAACTTACGTTAACAAAAGTTTCTTTTTTAGGGTCAGTAAATAATATTTATATAGATATATTAAAATAGAAACTCCTAATTTGAAAAAAAATTTAATAGTAATTCAATAAATAAAAAATCCATAAACTGTGACAGGAAATTTAATAGTAATAAATTTTAAAAAATAAAATATAAATTTCAAAAATTCAACGACATTTAAATTGTAGTTTCTTATAAAAATTCTTAGAAATAAAAATATTATTTTAATATAAATTTCACGCATACCAATTGTTTAAAATTAAAGAAAAATATTTTCATATAAACAATTTTATCCTAATTGAGATCCACGTTAAATAATATTTTTATTTTTACAAGCAATAGGGCATTTTTCATTTATTATAAGCACAACATTTTTAAGGGGAGTAGGAATTATTTACGAATAAAAGTAGTTTCTCTAATTTTAAAAAATTTATCTGTATAAAGTAAAATAATACTTTTTTATTCATAAGATCAACTCTTAAAATATTCCAAACCGTAGTTATAAACGAATCAATAAGATGATAAATCAAGATGCTGATACGCAAATCACTTATTCTTAGATTTTTTTTTATATATAAATTATTTTTGGAAATTAATTTGCTCATGCTTTGTACTCCCCGGTACACTTAAGAATAATGCCCTATACTTTGTTGATCATATTTATGGTAAAAAAATAATAATAGAAAGTTACGTGGATGATATAAACAATAACAATATAAATTATTTAGAAATATTAAAGTAATTTTGTTTTCTCATATACACGGTAAAACGAGTTAGTATGTTCTATTTGGATTAATCTATTTCTAATCTGAAAAAAAATCATAAAAAAACTTAATTATATATATTATAAATTTAATCTCTCATCTTTCTTATTTTTTATTTTTTATATTTATTTATTATATTATTAATAATATATTATTTAGTTTGTTAAAAATCAATAATTAAGATCGGAGTATTTACATTTAGAATAGAGCTTAACATCATTGAAAAGACTTAAATAATTTAAAAATGATTTTCCTTGTATGCGATTGCTTTTAACTTTTGCTTTAATAAAAACATAAAATATGTCAATTGTTGTCACTCTTTTTTATTTCTTTTTCTTTATTGAACTTCTTATGATTTGTTAATTGATCTTTTATACTTATAAAAAATATATATAATTACGACCTTTTTTAAAAAAATTGAACAAACAAAAGACTTTTTGAAACCATAATTTTTGTGTTATCCTCTTTTTATTTCTTCCAGTTAACTCGAAAAATAGGTTATGGTCAATATTTGACTTCTGTTTCTTTCTTCTTCTTTTTTCTTTTTTTTTCTCGTGGTGAACATGAATCTTCACTTTCAAAACATTTGACTATCAGAGTTTCTTCACATTAATATATGATATCGTTTTGCATACACATGGACCCAGTATTAAATTAATTGGTCATTTAAAAATAAATAAATATTAAAAATTGGTGGAAAGAATCGTGTAAGACTTTACTCTTTTATATTATTTATAAATTTATATAAAATACTTTTTTTATTATTTAACTGTTAAATAACTTATTGCTACCTACTACTTAATTATTGTTGTTAAATATTATAAAAATATAATTTAATAAGAAGAAATATATAACATAATGATAAACTTGACAAAATAATTATCGAATAAAAAAAATAATTGAATAATAATTTAATTATATTTGTAGTTTTTTAATTTTTTTATATGTCGGTGCTTATTTAATTAAAAGATAATAGTTAGTTCCTTCATAATTAACTAATTTTATTATATCGAATATGAATTAAAGAAAAGTTAACTAAATCCATCAAATAATCTCAGCTTTAAAACATAAAATTAAATTATTTCAAATATTCTTTTATTTAAAACCCATGATAAAAAAATATCATATTAACTCAAAATTAGAAAATTTATTTTCTCTCTCGTAGATACCTAACTTTACATCAGACAAACTCATTCAAATATGACAAAAATTCTTGATTTGTGAATCTTTAAAACGATTTTCTTCTCGAAACTTTGAATAGAAAATTAAGATATTATAGAAATAGTTGGCTGTAAAAAAAGTCAAGTAAACATATTACTAGTTACCAATTAAAGTAAAATTCATTAAATTTGTCAAGAAAAGTACCAAACACACTTTTAATTGAAATTTATTGGAGATTAAAATATTGTGAATCCCATCTCATTTATATTTATAAATCTCTCACTTCATTTTATAATTTTCAAAAATATGTTACGGTTAATGTTAAGGAAAGTGTAATTAAAATATATGTTACTGTTCTGTTCTGTTAAAAATATGTTGTGTTATCATGAAGAGTGTGTTACTCATATATATGTGGTTAAAAAGAATGTTAACCTGAATTAATTAATAAAACATCTGAATTAAAATAGGTTGATAATAATTTAAAATAAGGTAAAATTTACTAAATTTAAATGAATGACTTTTTACCCAAAATATTATTTTGAGTTTGGGATTATTAATTCGTGTGTGAGTTAAAGTCCCTCATAAAAATGAGAAAATTGAATAATTTGCAAGTGAAAAAGACTCGTAACCTAATATCTTAATGTTTTTTATTGAAGGTGGTGTCATATTTTCTTATATGGTTGACGTGGAACCAATTTGTAAAAATTTCCCTATTTTTAGTCTTTCTTGAAAAACTCAATTAGTGGTATTAACACCAACCTTGAAAGACCCAATTAATAGTATCAGAGTCGACCTTGAAAGACTCAATCAGTAGTATCAGAACTGACCATGAAAGATTGAGTCGACCTTGAAAGACTCAATCAATAATATCAGAATCAACCTTGAAAGACCTAATTACTAGCATTAGAGCCGACCTTGAAAGACCCCAATCAATAATATCAAAGTTGACCATGAAAAACCGAATTGACCTTGAAAGACTCAATCCGTAGTATCAAAACTGATTTTGAAAGACCTAATTAGTAATATTAGAGCTGATCTTAGTACGAGAACCTATTCGCAAGACCTTTAATGAATAATTTTAAATTGAGTTTATTAATAACCTTAAATCTCTAAAATCATTTATTTGAATTCAAAACATAAGAATATATTCGTCTAGTCAAATTATTAATTTTTAAGAGAAACTATCATCAACTAAAATGTATTTTATATAAGTGACATGTGTATAGATAATTTCTAACATAATAATATTTATTTTTTCAACGTTTTTATATAAAATTAGGTGATCGATATGAAACAAGAAAAAAAAATATAAAATAAGGTGAATTATATATATATATATATATATATATATATATATATATATATATAAATTATAACATCTCTTGTGCATACCGTTGAAGATTCTTTACATGATGCCACCAAAAAATAATTAATTGGGGAAAAGGATTTATTTGGTGATCATATATCTCTATTATTGGTCTATAATAAATTGTTTGGTATATACATGTATTTTTGCAATCATTAAACCCTAATTTTGGGATGAAATTAAGCTTACGATATATTATTTTAATATATCAATAATTTGGGTGTCTCTTTCTGGTTTTGAGTACTATTTTTTTCTTAAAGTATTAGAGAAGGGATTATTGAAGGTTGGCCCACCTTTATTTTCTTCTTAGACTTAGTGTGTAGTAGTTTGTGATTAATGTCATCAAGTCTTACAGTGTCCGTCTATAAACTTTATTTTACACCATTCCAAAATAACAGTCTTTTTAAAATTAATATCCCTAATTTTTTTATTAGAAGTAATTAACTAATTCAAATGAAGTAAAAATGCCCTTAACTTTTTAAATTATTTTGTGTTTTTTAAATATGTAGGTGATTTTGTATTAATTATTTGAAAAAAAAGTCAAAGATTATTGTTCTAAATATGTAATTAATCTTTTTAAAAAGTTTGTGGACATGCTCTAGAACAATTAAAAAATTGAAGAAAAAAATAAAATAAAATCAAGAAACCAAACAAATCTAATATGAGTCAACTAAGTGGCAGAGCTTTTTTGTGTTGAAGGATCACTACCATCTTAATTTTGTATTTTATGTAAATTTATGATTTTAGTTTCTTTAAATTTAATTATCATTAAATATATATATTTATAATTTTGATTTATTATGTTTTTATATTTTTTTATTATTTATTAATAATATATTAATCGATCACCCTGAAAATTATTAATAAAGATTTATCACGATGTGTTTTGATTAATTATGTCAATCTTATACATAAAATATAGCTTATTCACCATAATTAGAACATAATATATATCTACGGATAACAAACTAATTAATGAATCAACAAGACATTTGTATCAATTATATATATATATATATATATATATATATATATATATATATATATAAATTAATTATGTAAATGTCTTTTATTAGATAAATTAAAAAAATTACTATATTTATTTTTAAAATACTTAATTATAATTAATAATTCAAACTTAATTTGATATTATTTATAATTTAGATTATAATATTATAATATATTTATATATTGTAATATTATAATATAAAATAAAATAATATTCAAAATTTTAATTTATTTTATTTTAATTTTAATATGTAAATATCTTTTAAAAAATAACTCATGAGTCAACCCTTCTTAGGTTTAGTTAGATTAACAAATTAAGCAGGATAATCAAAGTGACTAATTGATTAAAATTATCAATATGTCCTGTTTGAGATGAATCAGTCTATTAGACCTAACTTGTTTTGCAATCTTGTTTTGCAATCTACTTAGTAAGTGTTAATGTTCTACTTGGTAAAAATTTAACTTTAGTCATATATATATATATATATATATATATATATATATATATATATATATATATATATATATAACTATGTATTCCTATTGGTTATTATGGGAAATCATAATAAAATAAAGATAAAATAAAATAAAAACTTATGATAACTAACTTGATGAATGTTACTTAATAAAAAAGGATTAGAGTTCTGTCTTTGGTCATAAGAAACCATCACAAAAAGTGTGATAGGAGAAAGAAAGACAAAGAGAATAGATTAGAAAAAAGATGTTGGAGAACAAAAACATTGAAGAACGCATTCTCCTTGGATATCTCTAATGGATCCATATTAGTCTCCTTATTATGATTTATATATGTTATTATGTGAGAATCATGAATCTAAAGATCGTGTAGAATAATTTTTTGGAATGAATTAGGAACGTAGAAAAACTACAAATTAATTATATGTGATATCTTTTGATGTCATAGAGAGACTTTAATATTCATTTTGAAAGATAACTTATCACTTCTTCAATTTACAACAATATATATATATATATATATATATATATATATATATATATATATATATTACTAGTATCTTTTGATGTCATAGTTTAATATTCATTTTGAAAAATGACTTATCACTTTCTTCAACTTACAATAATTTTCTTGTTGATTTTGATGTTAAAAAAATTTAACTTTTATGAAGGGTGGAGAGAAATAAATGAGAAAGAATAGAAATTAGAAAAAAATAGTTTGATTAAAGTAAAATAGAACGTAAAAATATTAGAATTTAAGAGGTACTAGTTTTAGTTTATATATATATATATATATATATATATATATATATATATATATATATATATATATATATATATAAATCCTTTATCATCTATTAAAACAATCTTTCTTTATTTTTAGCATCAACTTTTCATGTCTCGTGTTGATATTTTATCGGTTGAGCAACGGTGAGATCATGTATCTTCAAAGACACTTCAATGCTCATATAATTGGAATATTAAATAAGATAATAAAACTCGGTAAGATAATCATGAATAATGTATATCTTCAGAATAATACTATTTATAACACTTAAAATTTTTTACCTAGTGAGCCTTTGTTAAGATCTAGGATTTTTCCTAATCATAATTGAGTTTGATTTGTTTGGTAATTTCTCATAATTTATTATGTTTAGTGTTAATGATTATGTGTCGAGATCCTTTTAGATTATTAGTCCCCTAGGATCCATACACGAATAGTATGGAAAGTTATCAAAAGAAAAAAAAAATTATTTCTTTTCTTGGTAGGTATACTAACCTCTCAAACTCGAGGACACAATAAAGGATAAAGAGTTTTAAACGGAGAAGGTCGAGTTGTTCTTGTCGTAATTAAGTGTAAATATATGTAATTGGATGTCTTATCATAGGGATTAGAAGTGTCCTATCATGATTGACTATCTAAATTGAATATTATTTGACGGTTAAAAGGTAAGTGATATCTCATTTTTTGTATTGGGTCTCGTTGCTTATAAAAAGAGGGGATCACCATAAATTTTTTGCAAAATAATATTGAGAGAATAAATTTCTTTGATAGGTTCTCGTTGTCTATGTCGTGTACTTGTTAAGGTAACAATGTTTTCATCTTCTCACTCTAGGGAGCTAGCGGGTTAGCATTTAGATACAAGTTAAGGGTTGGTACTTGGGAGTTATCGAGGGACGAGGGGTGGCAAAGGTAGATCCTTAACTAGGAAAATTTCACTGTGGTGATCGACAATGATGTATCATATTCTAGATAAGAGAGAGGTGATGATGAATATGATTTAGTGGAGCATGATGACTATGGATCACTTAACTCTTTTGTTAGGGGGATTTATTCAAATATAGGTGGTAAACTGTGCTAAGGCTTTATATGAAGTCTTAAGATATGTTAGAAAGTAGTGGTTTTGAAGATACTCTGACCTTGCGTCATTATCGTTCCATTGACAATGTTTACTATCGGTATTTTTAAGGGTGCCTAATGTGGCACCCACCCAATTACACCCCATTGACAACTTTTGCCACAAACATTACATATGACTCTCACTTCTCAAGTGTTCATACATAATTTCAGTACCAAACCCAATGACCTAGTGAGTTGGTTTTCGTTGATTGGTCACTTGATTCTTCCTTTTTTACTCCGTATATATCTTCATACAAGAATTTTAAAGTCGGATTTTTCAAAGTGATCTTAGAACTAAGGCTTGGTCATTCTTCTATAATGACAATAGACTAAAGTTTCCTTTCTATTAGACCCATGATCCCCTATGTTACCAGAGTTGGCCTAAGTCCAAGATGACATCAAAAGATGTGAAAATGCTAGAAATCTTTAACAAGCTACCAAGAAAGTTATCCACCCAAAACCTTCTCAGAGTTTATCTATCCCCTTAATAACGCTTCGATCTCGATGATACACTTCATTTTTTGTTAGTTTCATATATATCATGAGGTTTAATATTGTTGAATTTCTTGTTTGTTTTTAGATCTTATGACAATCAATTTTGCAAGTCTTCATCAAGTTGCAAACTCGTTCCCTAGTTCTTGGCAAACATTTAGGTTTCAATCTAATGAAGATCGAGAACAATATCGGTTGGTTCAAGTAAAAGTGAAGTTGACACAGGCTACCAATTCTCTAAAGGATGCTTTGGAAGCAAAAAACTTCTTAAATACAAGATTGACCAAACTGGATGACAAGTATTCCATCTTGAAATCTAATAACACTAACATAAAGGAAGAGGAGGAGAAGGTGATGATGAACAAAGAGAAAAAGAAGGTTAACCTTCACAAGTCGAAGAAAAAGTTAACAAAAATGATATTGATATTAGAAGCGAAAAATATGTTAAAAAAAATAATCCACCAAAAAATGTTAAAAATTAGATGAATTGTTTTTAAAAACTTTCAACAAAATTATTAAGAGGATATTTTTTACCAAATATATAAAATTTAATATTTATAAAGATTCATGTACTATATTTTTTACATATATATATATATATATATATATATATATATATATATATATACTAATCTTTAATCTTTAATATACATGTTGTAAATTTTGATTTGAGTATCAATTAAATTATCATTTTTAAAAAAATCATTTAACTTATTTTTTATTTTTACATTTAGAAAAAAAAATAGTATAAATGATGAATATTTATTTGAATCCTAAAAATTAAAAGAACATTATTCATTTAATTTATTTTTCACTTTTATCTAAACCAAAGAATCCCTCTTCTCTCTCTATTTTTTTTTCTGTTTTCTCTCTTCTCCATATACAGCAAACACAACGTTAGACATTACTATTATTTCTGCATAAAGAACATAATTTTAAATATTAAGGGCAGACAAAGTTTGTACATAATGAATTTTCTCACATAAGAAAATCGATAACATTTGAAATGTACAAAAACATGACATGATATGTTGGGAATGTGAGGTTGCATAGTTAGCACGCATGCACTGCGTTGTCGTATTATTTGGTCTCAAACTAGAAGAAGGTATATTATAGGGTGCAAGCTTTCAAATTATTTTTCGACTTTTCGGTCATTAATTCATACTCGCGCCATGCATCATGCCAATATACATGCCATAAAACAAGACAATGATAGATAGATATGGGTTTGTTTGTACTAAAAGAAACATAATTACTGAAAGTTATTTATTTTTAAGTGATTTATATAAATTTTTGTGATTTTTTTAAATATTTTCTGCTGTTTTTTTGTAATGGAAAGCAATTAGTTGTTTCTACAAAAAAAAAAAAAATTAGCAGAAAATTTAGACAAACATACTCATTATAAGAATAAACCAAAGAAGACAACAGTCACACATATAATTATCACCTTAGAAGAAATAATAATGAAAAATAAAACATATTAGTTAAATATAATTAGTAAAATAGCGAATTTTGATTATATTCCTATAATTGTTATTTCTATTTTATATAAAATATGTAATCTTTTTAGTTATTATAAAATTTGCTCTTTGATTGTATAGATTCAAAATTTTAAACCTCTAGTATTTTAAAATTAAGAATAATTTTTATTTTATTATATATTTTAAGATTCTTTTTAACATCGAGTATTCAAATTACATCCCCAATCCCCAACGCCATTATATGTATCACTTAGAATAATTATGCAATATTATGTTTAACCCAAAAACAGTTTATTAATGTCATATAATACTAAGAATAACAAAAAATTAATTTTTAAAAATTAAAATATTTTTTATAAAAATGAACTAATTTTTCTTACTAAGAATTGCTATATGAAATTTTCGTTTTAACTGATAACACTAAAAAAAACACACAAATAATTTACCCGATTATATATATATATATATATATATATATATATATATATATATATATATATATATATATATATATATATATTCTGTATCACATCTCTCTATCTGAAGTAATAACTTACCATTACACCATTTAAGAGAGAGAAAAAGTATAAAGACATATTTAAAATTAATTATATTTTCTATCTATTTGCAGCTAAATTAAGTGAATAGATAGAAGGGAAACATAGCTGAAAAGAGATACTCAACTAAAATAAGAAGTCTAGTATTTTTTTATAACAAAAAATAATTATAAAAAGAAAAGATGTACATGAATATTTAAATGGATGGATGAAAAAGAAGAGAGAAAAGTAATATTATTAACTTTTTACCTCGTGTATTATTTTTTAATTGGAATTATAAAAAAAAAACAAATAAGATATGTGATTGAACTTCCTCAATTGTGGCACTAGCCCCCACTTCTCACCTTCATGCAGTGTTCAGAATTCAGAGAAGAAGAAAAAAACTATGACCCCCTCGTGTTCCCTTCATCAAAACCACTTCCTCCTTGACCAAAAAATCCATAAGAACCATAGCCTCCAACATCACCCTCAGAAGTTGATGATGCCAACGCAGAAGACGATGAAGAAGACACAAAAAAAGGCACAGGTGGTGGCTGGGATGAACCATAGACAAGATCCTCATTGTGATGGTGCTGGTAAAGCCCCAATGCGACACGTTGGAAATCATCATCATCCCTACATTTCAGCAACCGTGCATACTCCATCAGACTTGGAAACCCTTCTGCTTCTTCTGATGTTGGTGGTGACACTAAAAGAGAACTATTGCCACTACTTTGTTGTAGAGTTTGATGATCACCGCCAACATGTGGTGGAGGTGTGAGAGAAGATGGTTGTGCAGAAGCCGAAGAAGTGGTGTTTGTTGGTGGTAGTGGCACAGCAACGCGTTCCGGAAAATTGAGCTTGGCTTTGTTTCCTTTGAACTTCAATGCCGCAGCATCATAAGCCAAAGCTGCAGCTTCTGCTGTGTCAAAGGTGCCAAGCCACACTCTTGCTGCTTTCTTAGGGTCTCTTATTTCAGCTGCCCATTTCCCCCAAGGTCTTTGCCTAACTCCTCTATAGTGCTTTTTCCTAATATCATTATTGCCTTAAAAATTTAAACATCAATGCTTCTAGTTAGTGTCCAACATTCTCCTACAACTTACAAACACAAAGAACAAAGCTTAAATATAATTTTATAAGTGTTCTTGAACCAGAATTGAAGTTTTGTTCATATCAAAATCTGCATTCAACATTTATTTTGTGAATTATAAGATAAAACTATGGTTTTGATAAGAAAATACATCATTGAAACCAGCACATGTGTAAGTGAAAGTTTGGTCCACCTTCAAGACTAAGTGTGTAACGATACAAGGAAAATGGAAAAATGCAATGTGAAATTGAATGCAAAACATTTATTTGATGTACATGTATAGTCAAAGGTAAACCAAAAAAACGAGATGGTACATGAGAGCCAATTACGATAATACAGAGGGTAGATAATGGAAATGTGTCAATTTCAACTCTCGGGTTATTGGCAGATCGAGGATTCGAGAAGTTTTTGCATCAGGTGCATATTTTTTTTTGGGTGAGGAAAACAACAAAATATGACAGAAACCAACTTTAAGATGCTTTTTTTTTTCTTTACTTTTGAGAGAGAAGAAGTATCACGTAAGTTGCACTCAGGTTACCGGTGAAAATATCTTTGAATATGTTAGAAACTAAACAGTTGGATAACCTTTATCTAACCATCTCACACAAAAAGACTATATATTTGAATTTCCAAAACGAAAACAAAAATCATGAGATATGGATCCTGATTCATAGATGATATATAAATTAATGAATTAAGAATAATATTTAGGATTGTAGAGATGATAATCAAGCTTGTAACAGTCACAGTTTACCTTGATTTGTGGCTTGAGATGGATCCTGGGTATTAATAAATTTAGAAGTGGTTATTTGGCCATGTGGAGTGGGGAAGAAGGTGGTGTTTTGGTTGGTACTCATAACAAGGTGTGAAAAGGGTGATGGTGAAGCTTGTTCCTTTAGATTTTGAGATGGTGTGGGGTGAATAGGAAAGTTGAAAGCTTCTTTTTTCTCCTCATCAAGAGGGAGAGACCTCTTCCCTTGCCTTCGATCCACCTTGCTAAGCAACTCCCTCTTATTGCTTCTTCTTCTACTCTTCTATTTATACACACACACCCTCTTTCTGTCTCTAAGCTAAACTTGGTGATGAGGTTCCACAAACACCTTGTGATAAAAAAGCAGATCTAAGATTTCTATAAAGGGAGGACCAGTGATTTGGTGGTGAATGAAACCAAGATCAAAGAGGGGATTCTGTTTGCTTGCTTCATCTTTTTAATAAGAAAGAGATTTGCTTAAAAAAAAAAAAAAAAACATAATGAAGGAAAAGAACAAGATAACATGGGCTTGCTTGTAGGTTTTCCCATTGAAAATATAAAGTCATGTTTGTCCCTTGAAATTTTTGCGGTGCCCCCAAAAAATGAAAAGGAAATGAATACTTTAATGAGAAGTTTATAATTGGGCACAAAGAGTAGCATATTTTAATAGGGGACAACCCGGTTAGGATTTTTGAGCTACGAAACTTTCTTGGTATTCATTCTATTTTGTTAGGATTGTAGTATATTGTATATTTATTATTTATTTTTAGTTAGGGCGCAGAAAGAGGTGTGGGGTATATATACATTGAATTTGGATCATTTATTGTTTTTGTTTTCTGGATACTTCTGCCTTTTCGCATCGATAGTTTTTGTTTCGTCCCTTGTTTGCATCAAGTCGAATATGGTAATAAAATTATTAGTATTTCATACGAATATTTCTACCTACAGAAATTAAAACAAAAAAACATAAATTTAAAACGTTTAATAACGTCTTAATTGAATATTTAACCAAGATTTTAATTTTCAATATTTTGAAATAAATTGAATTAATAAAACGGCATATTGAAAGTGATATGTAAGTTTCTCATTGTACTTAATGTTGAGTGAACATTTTGAATATTAATTATAATATATAAAGATATTAAAATCCATTAATTTAATTAGATACATAATCAAAGAAATTAAATATATTATACATAATTATTAGAAAGATACTTTGCCACTTAAGGATTGGGAACCAACACTATTTCTAGGAGTGGGTGAAGTGAATCTCATGCAAGTGAATCCTCTAATATGTCTCCAAATGAAATTGTTACCAAGTGAATCTTTAAATGGAAGTTTAAAAATAAAAATAAATATTTTATTATAAATTTCACGTCTGAATAATTTAAAAATAAAAAAAGTTATTTAAAATTAACATAAAATTATTTATATAAATAATTTTATTAAATTTTAAGTAACTTATTAATAAAACTATAATCAAATATTTAATTTTAATAAAAAAAACTTTAAATAATTTGTTTTTTTCTAATTAAACATGAACAAGGATATATACTTTTTAACAAGGGTTATTATTTATTTATTTTTAACTACAGTTGCATTATTCATGGAAGTATTATTACTACCAAGAAGTCTTGATTGAGCAACCAAATCTCGATGATTCCCAGACTACTATTTCATACTGCCGTGTTCAGATTTGATTTTTATTTAATAGTTATCTACATCAATTATAAAAATTAAATATGATTTTATATAGATTAATTTTAATTTGATATAAAATTTAAATCCAGCTAAATCAATATTTACAATATCGTTATTTTTTTATTTTTTTAACTATAAAATTATTAAATATTTTTTTATAATAATTGTAAAATATTTTCTCAAAAATTATATTTAAAAAAATTATAAAATATTTTCATAATTTTTAAAGATTAATAAAAATTAAAAAATAATTTTGATAGAAAATAGTTTACTATTAATTTTATAATAAAAAATTATCAGATAAGAAGGATTATTGTTTATACTTCTATTTATAATTTCCATTTTTATTATATTAATAAAAATTTATACATTATTATTATTATTATTATTAAAAATCATAATAAAAACTAGTATTTAGATAAATATAAATATATTATAAATAATATAATCAAATTATAAAAAAAATATTTATATATTATCATTAGTAGATAATTAACTTTAAATATATAATATTATATTTAAATATAATAAGTGGTTTAATTCTGTTTAGTATAATTACTATCTCTTTTGTTTAAGACTTGAGTATCAAAAAATTAATAAAATTTTGATTTTGATCGATTTTTTATTTTTGAGGTTGATTTTTTTTATAGGTTTCTTTTCAATACCTATTTCTATGATAATATTATTAGAATAAACTTTTATGTATGAAGTATTATTGTTTTAAAATTCTGGTTTGTCACAATTTTGTTCTCAAAATATGTTTCGATGAATCAAAAGAGAATGATATATATAGATTACCTTTAATCACAAGTTTTAAATAATGTGAAACTCATGAACATACCTAAAGTATAATCCCGTAGTCTAGGACATGGGGTAGAAGAGAACCTAAGAATCTAGTTTTGACCACATGATGGACAACAATGTTCCGTCTAGAAATAAGTGTGTTCCGGCCTCATATCTCCTATAATAATGTCTCTTATAATAATATCATTAGAATCAATTACCATGTTTAAAGTATTATTTACTTTGGAACTTTAGTTCATAATAGTTTTGTCCTGAAAAGACACTTTGGTGGATTGAGTGAAAATAATAAGGTATATAAACTAATATTGACCTCAATTCATAAACACTACAAGAAAAACACCAAATAGTGACCGAAAATTCGGTCACTAAATGTGCAAAATCGGTTACTAATTAAAATAGTGACCAACTAGAATCGGTCACTAAATCAATGAAAAAGTTAATCAATAACAAATTTAATTATTTTTATTTATTTACATTTTTATTATATCTATTATTTATTTTCCCTATCTCTTAATTATATTATATTTTTTAGAAGTTTAACTTATTATTAGGTGGTTTATTGTCATTGTCAGGATTCGAACCCGGTACCTTAGAGTTGGAGGTTGAAACTCCAACCAGCTGAGCTACTAGGATCTTTTAATAATAACTTACAAATAAATTATATTTATATACAAATAAATGTATATCAGTATAAATATATAAATATAAAATCTATAAATAAAAATATATTTATATATTGATATATTTATATCTTTATATTTTTACATATATTTATATTTTTATATATTTATATCTTCATATTTTTACATATATTTATATCTTTTCATATTTATATATAAAGATATTAGTTTTCTATACAAATAATATTATAATATAGTATATTATACTATTAGTATAGTATACAAATAATATATTAGTATAGTATAGTATACAAATTATTAATTTTGTAATTTATATACAATGAAAATAATATAATGGTATATTAGTATAGTATAGTATATTTGTATTCTAATTTTTAATTAAATTAAAATTATGCTAATAATGTATATTAATATATGAGGGGATAATATATTTTTAAAAATAAATATTAGAAAAAGATTTAAAAATATATATAAATTATATTTACATTTACATAATATTAAAGATATATGTTTATATCTTTACATATTTATATATATTTATATGTTTATATTTTTACATATATTTATATCTTTCCATATTTATATATTTATATATAAAGATATTAGTTTTGTATACAAATAATATTATAATATAGTATATTATACTATTAGTATAGTATACAAATAATATGATAGTATAGTATAGTATACAAATTATTAATTTTGTAATTTATATACAATGAAAATAATATAATGGTATATTGGTATAGTATATTTGTATTCTAATTTTTAAATAAACTAAAATTACGCTAAATGTATAATAATATATGAGAGGATAATAAATTTAATCCAATTACTTTTATAAATATATAAATATAAAATCTATAAAATATTAAAAATGATATTATATTTTTAAAAACAAATATTAGAAAAAGGTTTAAAAACTAGTATTATCTTAAATGTATTAAAAGTATAATTAAATCTCTATTTTCTTAAATTTTTTTTAAACCTCTCAATTCTACATTTTTGTAAATTCTATCATTATATTATCATACTCATTATATCAAAATGTTAAATACTTTTAAATATTAAAATTAACTTTATCAAAAATTAGGAAAAAAAATTAATCCAAAAGAGTTCAAAAATATATTATAATATTGTCAATTTTGAGTTTAATTATATTGTTCATTCTCAAAGTAGAAAAATATATTGTAATTATTTTAATTTAATAAAATATAATTTAAAATTTTAATACTAAAATTAAAAGATTAAATAATAATAAATTTAATTCTTTAAATTCAGTAGCTAGAAACTAAAATTATAGTTTCTCTGTTTTAAATAATTAAAATAAATATTTAAAAATAAAAATCAAAACTAGTATTATCTTAAATTTATTAAAAGTGTAATTAAATATCTATTTTCTTAATTTTATTTGTTTCAAACTTCTCAATTCTACATTTTTGTAAGTTCTATCATTATATTATCATCCTCATCTCCTCCCATGTTCTACTTTATCTTTACAATAGTCAATATTCTTAACTAATTTATAGTTTTAATTATAATTTTTTAGTATATATTTCAGAAATTAATCAATTCTAATCTATTATTTGAAAAACTAATCAATTCTAATCAATAATTTAGAAAACTAATCGATTATAATTAATTATTTGAAAAAATTATCAAATATGATCGATCATTTCGAAAATCTAATCGATCAGAATAAAAAAATCTGGTTGTATATGATAGCGGTTCCACTGGAACCGCTCTTAAAAGAGAACTTCTAATAGCGGTTACACCATCGCTCGAGCGAGACTAGAGTCGCTCAAGCGAAATACAACCCGAGAATGCCAATTTTGTGCAGGGGGCGTTTCGCTCGAGCGAGAAGATTGTCGCTCAAGCGAAATAGAGTTAAGATAGCGGTTACACAGGAACCGCTCTTAAAATCTCACTTAGATAGCGGTTAACCTGGAACAGCTATTAT